CGCTGGCCGTGAGGAAGTTGACAAAATGGTTTCTGCACGTCTGTTTACCTCGGGCCGCGTTTATAACCTGCTGCAGCTGCTCTGGCAGCAAAATCGCAGCTACTCGAAGCTTCAGAGCCCGCCGGCAGCACCTCGTGTGTGGTGTTCCCCGTTAATTTGCCGGCTAACCGGGCCGCAGCCACTTCCCCGGGAGCCGAAAGAGGAGCCCGGCGAGATCGGCCCCGGTGACATGTGCCCATGTTATGCAACAAAAACTTAATGCGAGACGTGCAGGACCAGTTTGGATCGGTGTCTTTCTTCTAGGCTTCCATTAGCCTCCACTGCATGTAGGTGCTTGCGTTAGATGACTTCATTTATAGGATTCACCCAAGGTTCATCACGGGCACTTGAGAAGATTGCTTTGTCATTTTTTTAACTCACGTTAGTTTCTGCCTGACAGATACCAGGCCATGTTTGCGGTTTTGGTACTGCTCTCTCAACTGCATGTGATGATGTTTGCATTTCCTCACTGCGCAGGGATATTAAATACCTTGAAGCAACCTGAATGGAAAGACGGTAACTTTTAATGTGATTTTAAGCTTTCTAAAATAAAACCGTACCTAACTTTGCTTATGCCTAAAAATCTTTTTATATATGTAAATAGGTTTGGGTTTATCGTTTCTTTTTACTTAATTTTTTAAAAAAAGGACGTTTGGTGCTTAATCTTAGAATATTTGAGTATCTTTTGCTGAAATGATTGATAATTGACTTGTATGTTGATATTAAGTATTTATCAGATCCAGTAGTAAGTGCAGATTGGAACAACTGAGCTTTCTCTAGGTGTCTGGCATTATTGTGATTGATATAACCAGAATCCTCTCAGTAACATGAAAATTCCCGAAGTTTGAAATCTGTTAAGACAGCACTGCTTTGGTACTGTTTGTGTTCATCCTAGTTTTATTTGTGTGTCTAGAATTGCTTTGTATTTGAAAGGCTTTATTTGCATGGGTTTTGAGATTGATATTTTTTTCTCAATATCAGATCCCCTTACAACACCTTGAAAGATAAACATTGTGCTGCTGTTGCAGTTCTTCATTTTGGAGGGAGGGAAGTGGAGAGAAATTGAGGTAAAATCAGCCAAGGTTCCCCAGAAGCACTTGAAAGGACTATGATGTTAAGCCATGTGATACTTGACATTCAAGCATCAGGGCTTCAAAAAAGCAATTTGTAACTTAGCTGCCCAGTCTCCTCAATAGATTAGGAGTGCCGAAACCTTAAGATGGAGTTTAAAAAGTCTTCACATTGAGCAGGAGGCTCCTCAGGGCAGTAGGTTGAGCAGAAAACCTGGCTAGCAGTAAAATGCTTGAGACATGTTATTCATTAAAACCCATATTGCTTTGGGGCATAAAACACCAGGCTGCCTCTTTCCTGTGCGCTCAGGTACAGAAGCCTCTCCTGACAACAGCCCCAGATCCCTCCTCCATGAAAGACAGAGTAACTTAGGAATTACTGAAGAATTGCCAAGAGTATGGGGTACCTGCACTGAGAGGTTACCCCTTCAGCATTTCTGAGCATTTTTTAGCAGCAGAGCTATTTTTTTCAGCACATTTTGTTTGGATGCAATTTCTAATTAAATGCTAGGCATCCTAAAATCACATTTACCATTTTGTTGAGCCAAGGACTGCAGAACTGCATTCAGTTCCCTCACGTGGAGGAGGCAATTAAAATGCATCTGTTTCATTCTCCAAATACCATCTCAATCACCAGGTTGCAGGTAATTTGGAGATGGAGATGCGTGTACTTTGTGTCTGTGTCCTACAAAGTGAAAAAAGTACAGATAAACTCACTGAAAGGGAAAAGGAGCATGTATCACTGCAAATGATGGGTCCTGGGCTCCACATGGCTTGCCTATGTATTCCATGTTGATTAAAGTGCATCAAATAATCTGAGTTAATTTGGAAGTCTAGTTAATACTACTTGCATGGTAAGGAATGAAACACTAATAAGCAAAACTGAAAGTCTTTGTTTCAAAAGACTGAAGTTACTCTCCTGATTTGCGGTGAACCAAGATATTGGTAATATTTTTTTCCATGTAACTCTGTCCCCTTTCCACTTGAGGGTTTGTTTTTAAATATTGTCCTTCTCTCTGTTTACTCTTAGATACAGCATAAACATTTTAAGCTTAGATTTTCTTAAAATTACTTTAGAATAATGGATTTCCCTTCCTATACAAATGTGTGTGCGCACATGTGGCTTCTTCAATATATGCTGTAATATTATCTAAATTATATAAATATGTACTGTAATACTCTTTCAATATACTATAATTCCAAAGACATAAACAGCCAATATACAAGTTACACTGCGGTTTTCTTAGTTTTCAGAGACGGAACAATTTTGGGATACCATGACAAGATCTAACAGTAACTATCAGGGTAGAAATTCCTGAATGATGTGATAACCTAGCCAAACAAGCCAACAAGAACACAGAGCTAATTTGTAGCCAAATAATTTTATACTGAATCTCATTTCCTTTTTTAGCTGTCTGGCTTGGTACATAATAGTGTTGCTTCTGCATTACACTTTCAAAAATAATCCTCTGGTCATTAGTTACTTAAGCAAATGGTCTAATTTCTTGGAATGCAGAGTAGGCTCACACTGAAAACCAAGTCAGAAAAATAGATTTGTCATCTAAAGATTTTTCTTTTAGGAGGCTGTGGAGCAAGAGCAGGCTAAAACTTGATTATGCGAAGTGCCTGATGAGAAAAATGCATTCCTGTATTCCAAAGCCTTCTATAATTTCACTAACTCTTCTGGAATCTCACCTCACAACTTACTCCACAAGGCCTTGTGCAGCCTGTAACAAAGACAAAAGAAGAAAATTAAATGTCTTCAGAAGTGCCTGTTGTCAGTAAAATATCTATCATGTACTAATTTAAAACAAATGAACTTGGCAATATGCCAGCCTTTACATAAAACTTGCTGCCACAGCTGGAAAGGTGAACAACTGTAAAATGAATAGGATTTTGCTGCCATGATTTAAAATCCAAATTCCATAAACAAAATTTGGAACTCACAGTACCAAAATATTAATAAATGTATATGGAAGATTCTTTTGAAGAAAGGGGTTTCTTTCCTCCTTCTCCCTCCCTTGCTTCCTTCCTACAGTAGGTCGATGTGTTGCTGGGTTTGGATCTGACTGATCCAAAATTATGCCCACATCTCAGAAGGGGTAACACCAAAACCTGAACAACATCTGTATTGAGAATCAAATTTTCTTGGTCAGTATAAGGAATAGATGAAATGTTTTATTTAAAAGGAAGATGTTTCTTTATGTTGCATAGTTAGAAAGTTAGCAGTGAATAGAACATTTTAGTAGACTTTGATGTTTCTTTTGCCTCTGTGTAGTTGAGAGATGCTACAGGGAAAAGTGGTCTCAAAGCGCTGCTCCTTTAGGATATTAACACTTCTTAAAAATACCCAATTTAGTTTTCCTAATTTGTTTTAAATCAGCTTGATTTTTTTTTTTTTTAATTAGTGTTCACATCAGAAAAAGAGGCCAATTTATTCATTGGACGACATCTTCTGAATAACAGATTTGATTTTGAAGCATTCACAGAAGATAACCTGGAAAGAGAATGCTTAGAAGAGCTGTGCAGTTATGAAGAAGCAAGAGAAGTTTTTGAAGACTCTGATAAAACGGTAGCTGTTCAAACTGAAATTACTATACTGAAGAAAGTTACTAAATTATTACTCTATCTAAATACTGTAGCCCTTCGGAAAACTGCATTTAAAAGATGATCTCTCTTGTTGAAAAGCAGAGGCCCCATGTAGATGAGGTTATTGCTCTAGATACACAGTGAGTACACTTGAATATGTGCTATTTGCTTAAAAACTTCAGATAAGGGCTCCAATTCTGCAAATATAAATGAAACTTGAGATGCACTGCTTATGGATATACCTATCTGTGTTTTCAGAGTTTTTAAATTTTTGGTAGTACCTTCTCAGCATCCAATCTGAATGTGTTCTATATGCTCTATGTATTAATTGGTTGATTGTGTCTCTATGTTGTACTAAAAAAGTGGTTTAGATCAGAGGAGAACAGAGCAAATCTGCAGTTCAGCTCTCGCTGAGTATTCCCATTGTCTTCTAAGTTGCCACCTATGTACTGCTTGGAAGAAACTGGGTATAAAAAAAAAAAAAAGAGAAAAATCTTTAAACTTTGATCGCAATAGCAGAACGTTGACGGTTGCCTGAAGGGCTGGCTCTTGCTGCATGCAGCAGAAATCTTTTCACGGCTCTCGGTGTGCTTTGCACTGAGCTGCAGGAAGAGAAGGAATACACTCCTCTCGGTGAAAATGTTAGTCTGACATTGTCTGTCAGTCATTTTCCTGAGAGAAAGGTGCAAGTGTTAAATTGGACTCTCAATGGGAGTCTTTTGCTGGGTAGCAAAACTGGAAATTAAAGCTAAACATATTTAATGCATAATGCTTACACAACATGAAGAGTTTTCTCTTAAACGAATCTCATTATTTTTCCTAGCTGATATGAATTCAGATACTGCTCATGGAAACATCTGATTCTTAAGAACTTGATTTTGCCTCTTTAATACTCTTTTGTAGGGATTTACAAAGATTAATTGTAAGCATTTTTTTAGTGTCAGTCATAATATTTGAGGTAACATTAAATGCACTTTTTCACCAGCTGGCATTTTGGTCTTTGAAATTGTAATTTTTATTCAAAAAATACAGTAGAATAAGCAAA